TTGTAGATAAATATTTGTAGATTTGTTTATAATGAATACATTTTAAAGAAAGAAAGGGTTTGTCAGTGATGTCATAGAAATGTAAGTAAGTAAAGTAAAGATCCTTTTTCATGCCTGTAGGCGCATCAGGCATATGGGAAGAGCACCCATATTTTTACAGACCAATCGGCACTCGGTGGGTAATATGGTCAGCATTACATGGCCTCTCTTTACTTCCCCAGAACAGTCATCCTGGTACCCATTTACATCTGGGTCAACCTGCGACGCCCCATACCATGATAAAAATCCATGCAGCCAGCAGTGGGTTTTGATCATGGTACGTTGGAATTATGAGTTGGACTCACAAAACCTGAGCCACGGACGCTGCGTTATAGGAACAAGCAACCTTGAAATGTTTTTTTTCCCAACAATATAGAATTAGAAGTTGCTGTATATAAAGTGTAATTTGTGTGCATACAACATTATGATCTCGACATAATACATTATGATTATATATAAATAGTAGCCAGTGAACAAATGATATACCAGAGACTAGAATAGCATTTGTATCAAATATGCTGTGTTATCATGTACAGAGGCATATAGAATGTTAACAAAGCATCTTTAAAAAAAAAGCATGCTAGCAAATCATATACTAGATGATGTAGCATACACTTGGGATTATAGCACACTATGAAATTATGTTGGCAGAATACATGCCCTGTGCTAGGAAAACTATCATGCTAGCATATCATGTCTAGAATATCTATCACGCTAGCATATGTACTAGGATATCTGTCACACTAGCATATCGTGTGCTAGGATATCTGTCATGCTAGCATATCATGGGATAGGATATCTGTCATGCTAGCATATCATGTGCTAGGATATCTGTCTTACTAGAATATCATGTGATAGGATATCTGTCACACTAGCATATCATGTGCTAGAATATATATCATGTTAGCAAATCATATGCTAGGATAATATCTATCACTCTAGCATATCATATGCCATCATGCAAAGGCGTCTTGTAGGTAATAGAGCATATGAGTATATCAGTTACTAGGGAATAGAGCATTACAATATATTATATACTAGGGAATAAAACAATGTTAGTCTTGTACTGGGGAATATAGCTGGCTAATGTATCTGTATCAGAGAATAGAATTGCTAATATATCTATCAGAAAATAGAACTTGCTTATATAACTGTCAGAGAATAGAACTTGCTAATATAATTGTAAGAGAATAGATATTGCTAATATAACTTTTAGAGAATAGAACTTGCTAATATAACTATCAGAGAATAGAACTTGCTAATATAACTATCAGAGAATAGAACTTGCTTTTCCAACTATCAGAGAATAGAACTTGCAAATATAACTATCAAAGAATAGAACTTGCTAAAATTACTATCAGGGAATAGAACTTGCAAAAATAACTATCAGAGAATAGAACTTGCAAATATAACTATCAGAGAATAGAACTTGCTAATATAACTATCAGGGAATAGAACTTACTTATATAACTGTCAGAGAATAGAACTTGCTAATATAATTGTAAGAGAATAGATATTGCTAATATAACTTTTAGAGAATATAACTTGCTTATATAACTATCAGAGAATAGAACTTGCTAATATAACTATCAGAGAATAGAACTTGCTTATCTAACTATCAGAGAATAGAACTTGCTCATATAACGATCAGGGAATAGAACTTGCTAATATAACTATCAGAGAATAGAACTTGCTAACATAACTATCAGAGAATAAAACTTGCTAAAATAGCTTGCTAATAGACCATATATTACAGAATATAGATTTGCTAATGTAATGTAGATTACAGAATATAGGTTGCTAATGTACTGTATGTTAGAGAATATTGTACATTTTGGCTTTACATTTCTAATTCAGGACCACATAATAGCTGACAAAATTCAACTCCCAAAGAAATGGCAGCATGTCTGTCTAGAATGCTCCACTGTTCCATTTCTCAGTAAATGTACAACTGGTACTCCATACTTTCAGTCAGCTCTGTTGATACCATGGATACCAGTTTGTACATCAACTCATTCCTAGTTTAGCTTCTCCCATTGTGCATTTTCCTTTAAAAACTTCTGTGGACCAAAGCATTGGCTGCTTTAAACTTGAACCTCTCCAGATAGAAACAGTTACAGTAAACGCTGGCTGGAGTTGATATGTAGAGTGTGTGTGTGTATGTGTGTGTATGTCAAGGAACTACATAAGTGTGTATTGAAATATCTGACAGGAGAAGATAACTTCTTGTAACAAGGTGAGATAACCTAGTACATTCTTGCTTCTGCGATATTTGTTGTTTTCATCATCCACAGCAAATGATGAAATAAAATGAATGTCAAGTCAGTTTTGTTCGTTTGTTCCTATTGCTGTTTTTAATGTTTCTCAATAGAGATTTAACTTTCTTCTGTTTATGAACACAGTATGGGGGGAGGAGGGGGGGGGGGAAGAGTGTTTTTTAATATAATACTAAGTAAAGCACTGGTTCAGTACCACAATTATAGCATTTAATATGGCAAAAGTGTATCTGTTCCTTAGAAATAATAAGCTTTACAGTAGAAAGTGCAAGAACATTAACAAATAAGTCACAGGGAAAGCAGTTGAAAAATAAGACACAAAAAACAGTAAATAAACTAGATTAAAATATTTCTGACATTTTATTTCCGACACATCACATCTGTGTTTATGTTTTGCAGCCAATAATTATCAGTGTTGTTACAATTTAGAGTAGAAACCTTTCAATAAAATTTGGAGAAAGTAAAAGTTCTGTTAAGGCTAGTTTAATCGTGCTGGTCCCTGACTGATCATCAGTTGCAGTTGCAGACTAATGTGTAATCTGGCAGTGGACATAAGGATGGGTTGACCTCACACTTGCCACTGCTGTAACCTTGTTTCTGGCAACAAGACTCACAGTCCTCCCAGACTGTTCCTGTTGCCACGTAGCTCCACCTGGGTGGAAGAGTGGAGTCATATATGCAGGGATATTTATAACATGTCTTGTTTACTCATATTTACATAAAGGGCTTGTAACGGATTTTCCCCAAAAAAAGGGTAATACACCATAAGCCTAATATGGAGACAAAATGTTCACCAGAGGCGGAAGAAAACTTATAAGGCACTCTGTGGTGACATCATACAGCCGCTTTTACTTTTCAGAACATGTTGAATACCCATTTCAGGTTGGGTTGACTTGGCAATCCAGGTGCATTCTAAAAATGGAGGTGAATTTGAAACCAAAAATGAGCAATGCAGAACATGCTAAAACACATTTTCTGACTTCCTTAGATGGGAACCAGTTCCACAATATGCTCTTTGATGTAAAATCGGTTGGTGGATATTGACCTTATCTCACGCTGAGTTTTAGTTTATATAGAATGTAAGATTTGCAAGGGAAACTATGGTCTATAATACAAGACAAACAAGGGAAACTATGGTCTATATCACAAGAGCACCTAGGAAAACTATGGTCTATAATACAGACTAACAAGGTCAACTATGGTCTATAATACAAGACTAACGAGGTCAACTGTAGTCTATAATACAAGACTAACAAGAGAAACTATGGTCTAAAACACAAAACTAGTAAGGGAAACTACGATCTATAACACACAAGAAGCAAAGGAAACTATGGTCTATAACACACAAGAAGAAAGGGGAACTATGGTCTAACACACAACAAGCAAGGGAAATTATGGTCCAAAATACAAGACTAACAAGGGAAACTATGGTCTATAACACAAAATTAATAAGGGAAACTATGGTTTGATTTGATTTGATTGATTTGATTCAAGAACTGACATCACAGCATTCGGGGCATTCCCACAAGCGCTCCGTTCCCATCTTCAGCAGCCAGCGAAAAGTTCCGATACTTTTCTCTGAGCCTCGAGCATCTGCCAAAACCTCTCGTCACTCCCCCCTGCATTAATCTCACCAGACTGGTGATCCATCTGCTCCTCCGAACTGTACACGCTCTCCCACAAGGCACTAACCACATCTGCCTTATCATGCATCAGTATTCCACCAAGTTGTGTAGAGCCAGCCGGTCTGTCCGCCTGTTCATTTCCCAACACACTGGCGTTTCCTGGTGAAAAAATCCAGACAATACTCCTCACCAATGTCCTCCGCAGCGAGGCATGCCCCTCTACACGAAGCATGCCTGTCCTGATCTTCCTCAGCATGCTTTCTGAGTCATTTGGGTCACGATCTGTGTGTGTGTCATGTTCTCTAGCCATAACTATGGTCTATAACACACAAGAAGCAAGGGAAACAATAGTCTATAATACACAACTAACAATAGAAACTATGTACCATAATACACAACTAGTAAGGGAAACTATGGTCCATGATATAAAACTATCTAGGCAAAATATAACACAAAACTAGTAAGGAGTTCACAGAGCTCACATACTCTCCCCACTGCACCATTCTCTACTTGTATGCATGTTCAGTTATCTTCCATTTTACTTGTGACCTCGCCCCACAAGTGGGAGATTCCTCTGCCTTGTGCAGTAGCGCAAAGTGGGACTAGTCCAGCCAATCTATCTGCCCCTCATTCTCAAATACATCTGCTTGGCCAGGGCAAACTTTCTATGTGAATCTCACCAGCTGTGGCCTTTGGAGTGATCTAACCCATTCCATACGAAGAAAACTCGCCATCCCTTTCTTGAGCATGCTCTGCGAATCTGATACTATGTTAAAACATGTGGCTTAGACTTTCTCCATCCATTGGAATGCCATTTACCACCTCAGCCTTCATTCTCATGCTGGATGTGGTAATGTCATATGCC